TTATGCTTTTTTTCGCGTATGTGTGTTTTAATGTGTTTTCTTCCAGTGATGCACCTATAGATCCTAGACCTAAGGTGGCGAGTAAATAAATGTTTGATTCGTTACAGACGTGTCATCATACACTTCTGACTTTGTGATTTTTGAGTACATTCTGTAGCAGTGATCACTTAGTGTTCGCTTCTTATAAAACACCTATTTCACGCTTTTTCTTGTAGTGCATAATGAAAATTGTGATCAAATACGTGCCCAAAGTATTGTGTCGTGTGTGGTCACCCCTGTCCTAGGCCGAAATAGAATGATCTTAAACTCTGAAGCACGAAAATATTGTTTGCACTTTATTTAATGAATATTTTTGAGTCTTGTAATGACTTCAATATGTATAATTAAATTATTTTAAAATCGAATAATATTTCCATGCATTATACTTTTTGCAGCAAACATTATAATGATAACGCTAGAAATTATACTCTGCAAAAGATGACACTGACATTTGACAGTTATCAAAACTACCGGAAAAGTAGAAACATGAGATATTTAAGATAAACTCATATTGATAAGTTATAATACTTTATAAGAACAACCTATCTAGAAAAAACTCGAAATGAACTCTTTTATAAGAAATAGATGTATTCCAGCATGTCGTGCATTTACAACCTCGAGTATAAGACGTACAACTGCACCTCCTCAGCCACCTAAGGCTAAACCGAAAAAGTTTTTTGGACCCATTACATGGAAATCAATGGCAGTAACTGCCGTAGTTGGTGGTGGTTTAACTGCCTTCATGATGTACGTAAGGAGAGAAAAACAGCAAGCGATAGATCGTGAAAGAAAACGACAGCTGGGTAAAGCAAAAATCGGAGGAGCTTTTGAGCTAACTGATCCTGAGGTAGACTTTAATTATTAGTCCCTTATCATTGGGATTTTATTTATTTTACATAACATTTATTTAAAATTACATAACAAACCTTTTTTCAGGGCAAATTGGTTAAGAGCACAGATTTGTTAGGCAAGTGGTTGCTGATATATTTTGGATTCACACACTGCCCTGACATTTGTCCTGATGAATTAGAAAAACTTGCTGAAGTTGTAAAATTACATGGTGAGTATTTATATCCCTATAATTATTTTCTTTTAATGGTTGTAAAATGTGAGAATCAATTTAAAACTATTTAATTTGTAAGATTTGTATAATTTAGTATGAAAAATTTATCTCTTTCAGATAATAGTGAATCTGCACCTTCTTTGCAGCCAGTATTTATATCTGTTGATCCAAAACGTGATAGTCCAGAAATTGTTGGAAAGTAAGTTCATAATATTTAGAACTTTGAATAATTGTAACTCAACAAAGTTTACAATAATAAAATACCTAAATTACCTTTATTTCTAGATACTGCAAGGAATTCTCTCCACGATTCTTGGGACTAACGGGAACTGAAGAACAAGTGCAGAAAGCATGCAAGTCATACCGAGTGTACTTCAGTGCAGGCCCACAAGATGTTGATAATGATTATATTGTAAGTATGAGGTTTAATATTTATTGACCCTTGAGTTACATGTCTTATAAGATCTTATTAAAAAGTTGGATAAGTTAATATAAGTTTATTTTCCATTACAATTTCATTGATGAATGCATGTCTTTAAACAAGAAATAAATTGTAAATTTATTATTTCAGGTGGACCACACAATAATCATTTATCTAGTGGATCCTGATGGAGAGTTTGTTGATTATTATGGTCAGAACCGAACTGCAAATGATATTTACAATTCAATGCTTGTGAATATAAAGAAATTTGAATCGTCAAAGAAGAAAGCTTGGTTTGCTTGAATAATGTTTGATTGATAGTTGTAGTTGCGAATGTTTGTGTTATGTAATAAATTATTTTGATGTTAAAACTTTGTTTTATTAAATTTCTAAGAAGTACTATCTAATAGTAAATACGATAGTTTAGATGGAGTTATGGCTTTTTCTACATACCTTTGAAACAACATATTGGATCTTGCTGAAATTTAGCATAACATAAATGTACATATTAGGGAAAAAAATTATTAGATTACTATCTTTGTTTGACAATCTAGGGGAGACATTTTGCATTCTGCACCTTGTTATCATTCCATATCACAAAAATAAAACCATACATTTCAATAAAAATAATTCCATTTATAAATAATAATTACAACTAAAATATTTCAATACACTCAATGCCACTGATAATGAACTCACTTTTCAATTGTAGCCCTGAATGTGTTAAAAATTGGTCTTCATACTGGTTACTTTATGTACAGTTAATTCTCTACCAGATCTGTGTATTTGATCTAATTGGTACAGTTTTATTCCTCCATCTTCTAAAATGGCAGATGAGATATTAGGTCCATTTTCAGTCATTTCTATATAATGTATGTGGCTTTTTAATTGTTCACTTGCTTGTTCCCGTGTAAGATATTGACTAGTTTCATGGTTTTCTATTAAATCTATTTTATCATCGTTGTCTTGTAATATCACTTCTTCCGTCACTAATGGTACATCATGAGGACTCATAATTTTTGAATCTGTGTTCAAATTATTTTGTAATACATTTTCTTCTCTAGCATTTTCTTGTTCGATTGTTTCATTTCTATCATCAGAAAATACTATTTTGTCAGGTAGTACGTAAGGTTTTGATATTTTTGGTTTTTGAACAACTTTCTTAACTGGTTTATTATTTTTCTCGTGACGTGCTTTAAAATGTCTCATCAGTTGAGACTTGCTGGAAAACTTATCGTTACACTTCGCGCATTCGAACGGTTTTTCTCCTGGAAATATGAATGTGTTACAAAAATAAATTAAATTTTATACATTAATGTAAGCTGGAGTTTTTATTTTAAGGCTTATAAAATTACAATATTTAACTTGCTTCATTGAGTAAAGGCGGGTATATGAATTTGCCAAAATAACGAAGTGACTATTTTGATAATTAAAACTAGACCTCTGTTATTCCTTCAAACAAGAAACTGTAATTATTTCCACTTGTCGCTTGTCGGACATACTATTCAAACACTTGATTCTAATGCCTGATTCACACTTGGCCAGTACAGTAGGACAGTAGTGTCTCATAACTGGACTGGTATTCAACTATAATAGTGTGCCTGTAACTTGCGCCAGTGAGTCCGTTCATCATGTCTAGCTTTCGCGACTGTCTTACTGTACTGGCCGAGTGTAAGCCGGGCATAAATGTAATAAGCGCGTGTTTGTGTGTGTTTCTGTGTGTGTGTCACCTGTGTGCAGGCGGCTGTGCTCGCGCAGTGCCCAGGGGCGCGCGAAGCGCTTCCCGCAGGCGGCGCACGCGTGCGGCCGCTCGCCTGTGTGCATCGCCATGTGCAGCCGCATGTTGCTACGAGAAAACCTGCACATAGCCCATACATAACTGTCAGTTTAAATTTGTACTAAAATTCAATACAGTTGCAAATTAAGCGCCAATAGCCTAACGATTTGGTGTACTGACTACCGATCTTGCGGTCGAGGATTCGAATTCCACCATTCGACCAATGTCGAGAACCATATCCTAGCACAAGCGTAGCGCTTAGTTGGAATGGTAAAAAGAAATATTAGTAAACTAACAAAATTCTACTGTTAAAACAAATGCGAGGTAGAGTCGTGGTCCATTAACAAAAAATTGGCTTGTTCCATGCAACGAAACAAACTCCATTTCTTATAAATCTTACAAAGGGTATAAACGACTACTATTAACTACGAGTACTTACTTCTTGTTGCAGACGGTGCACTGGTAGGGCTTGTCGCCGGTGTGAGTGGTCATGTGATTCTTCAGAGAAGACCCGCAGCCGAACTTGCGCTCGCAAACTTTGCAAGTGTACGGCTTCTCTCCTGATCAACGTTAAAAATACTTCCATATTTAATGATCGTATCAAAATAAATTATTTTTTAAATAGGTTCCTAGACAGTGTATTAAACGATTTAAATGGCGGCTAGTGAAACTGCTCG